TTTCAGCATTTCCTATGGATTTTATTCCGGATTTTTAAGGGCTTTATTTTTCCGGATTTTTTGTGAGGGAATTTTTTGTGGAATTTTTCCATATTTTTGAAGATTTTTTCCCAGATTTTTGGGAGGAATGTTTTTTTTTAAAATTTTTGTGGATTTTTTCTGGATTTTTAAGGATTTTTCCAGGATTATTTAAGGGGTTTTTTTTAACTTCATATTTTCTGAATTTTTGTGGGTTTTTTCAGCATTTTTCCAGAATTTTTTCAGGATTTTTGGCAGAGATTTTTTTTAATTTTGGAGGGATTTTTCTTAATTTTTGGAGTATTTTTCCACATTTTTTTTTGCTTTTTTGGGGGAGTTTTTGGGTTTTCTTCCCCTCTGTGGCGGCGCATGAATCAGAGCCTGAGAAAAACAAAAGGTTTGTGGGTTTTGGGGAACATTTTTGGGGATTTTTTGGGAGATTTTTGGGCATTTGCAGTGAAATTTTTGGGGGAATTTTGTGGATATTTTCTGGGATTCTGAAGATTTTTTTCAGAATTTTTTGAGAGACTTTTCAGAATTTTTAATAAATTTTTTTCAGGAATTTTGGGAGAAATTTTTTAGATTTTTTGGGAATTTTTTCAGGTTTTTTTTCAGGATTTTTTTCAGGATTTTGAGGAGAAAGTTTTTATATTTTTGGGGGATTTTCCCCAAGATTTTAAAGAATTTTCCAGAATTTTTTCAGGATTTTTTTTCAGTATTTTTGGAAGTAATTTCTTGCAATTTTTTGGGAGGATTTTTTCAGGATTTTCGGGAGGGATTTTTTTGGATTTTTGGAGGATTTTTTTGGGAGGGATTTTTTCAGGGTTTTTTTCCTGGATTTTAAGGGATTTTTTTAGGATTTTTGAGGAATTTTTTTTATTTTGGGGGGATTTTTTCACGATTTTTTGTAGAGTTTTTTAATTCTGGGGGGGTTTTTTTTACGATTTTTTTTTAAAATTTCATGGATTTTTCCAGGATTTTTAGGATTTTTTTCAGAACTTTTTGAGGATTTTTTTTGTGGTTTTTGGGTGATTTTGACCGTATTTTTTGGGGATTTTTTCCAGATTTTTTGTGATTTTTGGACGATTTTAACCGGATTTTTTGGGGTTTGTTTTTGAAATTTTTGAGTTTTCTTACCCTCTGCGGCGGCGCATGAATCAGAGCCCGATAAAAACAAGTGGTTTGTGGGTAAAGAGCTAAAACCAGTTGATCTTTATGGAATAAAGCTTCAGGATCTGTTTCCGGGTTGGTTTTCCATTGGGGAAGAGGAATAATCCGACGACGGCTCAAGGTGTGACGTCTGGGGAAAAAAAAATAGGAAAAAAATGAAAAAAAAGGGAAAAAAAAGGTGAAAAAATGGGAAAAAAATCAGAAAAAAGGGCAAAAAATGGGACAAAAATGGGAAAAATGGGAGCAAAATTGGAAGTAAGGGGAAAAAAAAGGGAAAATGGAAAAAAAATGCAAGAAGTCAGAAAAAAGGCAGAAAAAAATTGGAGAAAAATTCAGAAAAAAAAGTATTTAAAAAAAATGAGGAAAAAAACAGAGAAAACGGGAAACAATTCAGAAAAAAATCAGAAAAAAAACCAGAAAAAAATCAGAAAAAATTTTTAAAAACTGAAGAAATAACAAGAAAAAAAATGAGAAAATGGGAAAAAAACTAGAAAAAAATCAGAAAAAAATCAGAAAAATTGGAAAGAAAAAGAAATGAAAAAAATAAGCAAAAAAAATTCAGAAAAAAAACAGAAAAAAGCAAAAAACAATTTTAAAAAACTGTAGAAATAATTAAAAAAACCCAGGAAAAATCCGAAAATTCAAAACCAACATCCAGAAGTCAAAAAAAAACCCCAGAAAAAATTAACAAAAACGCAAAAAACTAAAAAAATCAGGAAGAAATCTGAGAAAAAAGGAGAAAGATCAGAAAAAAATGGGAAAAAATCCAATCAATCAGGAAAAAATAAAAAAAACCAGAAAGCATAAAAAAACAAAGTAAAAATATAAAGAATTTATAAAAAAACCTGAGATTAAATTACAAATAAATCAGAAAAAACCTCAAGACAATATTTGTGTCACTTACTCTTTTCCTTCCTCATCAATGTCATCCACTTCATACCTGGGAAAAGAAAAAAAAGGAAACCGGAAGTGGGTGTGGCCAACCGGA